ACAAAGATTTTTATTTATTTATTTATTTATTTATTTATTTTTACAAACCTGTGTTTGCAATTGTTTGATATGCACGAGAGCAAAGTATGTTTGTGGATTTTTTTTTTTAAACAAAAGATCAAAAGGTTAAACAATAAAGACAATTTTTCACAGCTTTCTATGTTCATATTTACCAAGGGTGCCAATATTAGTGAAGGAATTTGTATACACAAAACCTATGCAAAAAAATCACTGGCCTATAGAAATGTATTTGCCCCATTTTTATTACATTAATTTTTGTTTGTTTGTTTGTATACGTTTTGTGTTTACAAATTGATTAATGAAATATACAAGATTGTACTAAAAAATTGACCAAAAAAACCCCCCTGCAGATTTCCAGGTTTAATTATTGCTATTGTACAGTATCAGGGACACGATCATTGCAGCAACCTAAAAAAAATAATAAAAAAAAACAGAGAGAAAACACAATATAAGCATTAAACGTAATATATAGACAAACTTCCATGTAAGACCCGTGACAGTTAGCATATTTGGGTTGAATGACCCTGGCAGTCGCATCCATCATGTGGCTTTGTGCCAAATTTGGGAAAGGACACGGTGCTACATTTGTCTCTACTCCAGCGTTGTGTACATTAGTTTTCTATGAATATATTCATCTGAAAATGTCCCCAATGTGAGTGTTGTGGTTTCAGTACCTCTAAAGCAGCAACACAAATCGCCACGGCCCCTAGCAAAGAAGATTGACTCTTCACCAATTTCACCACAGCATCCAGACAGCCGTGCACACTCTGCAAAGGAAATGACATGACGATATCGAAAGGACAGAGATGGATAGGTTTTGCCACCATAAATGATATCTCCCTCATTAAGAGGTCTAACCCTGAACCTCATCAGCAGATTCAGGAGAAGGAAAAGCCTTGAAATTGTTTGTGGTAAATATAAAGGTTACAGAGTATGAACAGGTTTGTGATCAGACTCGAGGAGTGGATTCAGGAGGTGTACCTTTGTAGTTGCAGTTCCTTTATCACACGGTTTAGATTTATCAGACTGTTCAGTTGAGCAGCAGTCTTGGGGGTAAAGTGAGGTGCGGTTTACATATACAGAGCCTGTGAAGTCGGTGTAGTTGCTGAATCCACAGCACTTCATCTACGAGAACATTCACACACACACACACACACACACACACACACACACACACACACACAAACCTTAAAATTCTGGCACTTATTTTCAGAATCAACAATAATACAGTTATATTATACAATAATACTGTTCAATTAAGAGAAGCACTCTAACCTGGGACATTGTGCTCATTCAGGCAGATTAGAAACTAGTCTTGTCCATATGTAGCTACTAATCAGAGGTAGTAGAAGTTACACTTTCCTTAAGTAAAAGTACAAATACTCCTTTAATAGCTACTTGGGTAAAAGTAAAAGCACTCTAAAACTCTACAGACGCCTCAGATCACACACTGATTTTGGTTCCTTGACGGTAAATTGGACCCATTTCCAAGGAACCAAAGAATTAAACCTAATTAATAGCCAAAAAAGAGAATTTTTATTTGATAAATATAAAGTAGGTAGCCATTAATAGAGAGCTGTCATGCCACAATTTAGCTAAAGACGCAATAAATAAATAAATAAATAAATAGAAAAAAAGTCACGTGTTTTGTGATGTATTGACATCTGTGGCATATATGTATTTATATGCATTAATTCTTCTAGAATCGATAATTAGATTTTAGTATTAAGGCCTTAATCTTTTATGTGGATGGTCAAAAATTGGTGTGTTTTGTTTCTTCATTGTTCTACATGTTAATGTTTTCTGGTAATGTAAAATAAAGTGTTTCTAGTTTTATGCTGGACCCATGTCTCTTGGCCTTGTTGGAGAAATGAACCCGTGTGACCTCGGCCTAGTTTGTGCTCTATCAAATATTTTCCCGTGTGGAATTCCCAGGGTGGTGTACTCATTTATTCCCTGAAATTTTAAAATCAGTATCAATATTGTATCATCCTCCCGGGTCTCACCACACAAGCGTTTAGGTCTGTTACAGTAGCATAGTTAAATTGGTTATCCATATTGGTTACAGTTGCTGTGTGAAATAGTAAAAAGTTTGCGCTCCCTCAATTGAAATGCATGTGTAATCCCGCTGATTATGATAACGTACCAGACTCATCGTCTCATTCCACGCAGCAGTGAAGTGGCTGTTTTTATCGTAGTTTTCCTTGATCTTCTCGCCAACTTTTTCACGGACTTTATCCAGCACTTCCTCCACCTGAGGAAAGAGTAAACAATGTTCCCGTGTTAACTCTTACAACACATTTCCCATTTACTTATATATTTTCAAATACACACACACACACACACACACACACACATATATATATATATATATATATATATATATATATATATATATATATATATATATATATATATGTGTATATATATATATGTGTATATATATATATATATATATATATATGTATATATATATATATGTATATATATTATGTATATATATATGTATATATATGTATAATGTGTGTGTGTGTGTGTGTTTGTCACTGTATGTGGCAATTAACTGCGCAAAAACCGTTCACTTCCTCCTGTCTTTACTAAGAGGCTCTTTCAAGTTTCTTAACTGTCCATGGTCTAACACTAACCACAGAGTAAAAACAGCATTAAATGTAACTCTGAGGTCAGCACTTTGCCTAGAAATGTTAAATTAGCACTATTAACCTGAACTGATAATAAATGAAGGAAGTAGACATCATGGAAAATTGGCCAGTCTGGACACGTAGCGGAATTTTAAGCATGTAAGCTCTTTTTTTTTTTTAAATATAGCTTTATAGTAACTGATACTTAGATAGTGGAAATTTCTTGAAATATGATGAACATAAATTTATATAAAAAAAATGAACCTGCTATAACAATGTTATTCTGTTTTATAATCGCAATGAATGTTCACGCGTTTGTAAAAAAAAAAAAAAATAAATAAGGACCCAAATTTAAGGTAATTATTACATTTATTAAGAGACAAATTATATGGAAAAGCATAGGTTCTAGAGTACATGTGTCTTGAGTAGATCTCCAGAGATGGACCGAATATAAAAGATGCAAGCGCAGGTGGTCAGATATGAAGCTCACTGGATAAAGAAAGGCCACCTGGGAAATATTGTAGACATGCGCAATTAAGAATATTAAAGTCCGGAATTAGTCGGAATTCTTTCGTAAACAGGTGAGACTGGGATTAAAATCTGTCCAGCACACCTCTGGGGACTCTTACTGGAGACCCGTGACTGTGATACAGTTTTCAACTGGCCGCTTGGGCATATCATACTGTATGCTTATGTGTGCACAATGATTTGCTATATATTCAGGATCATTGTTCTTACCTTAGACTGGTAAAGCAGGATGTACACCGCTGCAACCACCTCCACGACAAACAAAATGAGGATGATGATGAAAAACTGTAAGGACATGTCACATTAGACAGAAACATCGAAATAGATCCAGTGAAGCATATGTGTTCCTAAAAGAATGCTTTCATGAACAAAAAAACAAAATCGTCCCAAATGTAATCAACAGGCCAAGAGCTTGTATGTTTCACACAAGTGTCACACAAAAACTAAATGTAATGTAGAGAAATAAACAAAGCCTTTCGACGTAGCTGAATACTGGAATGTTATCAGGGCAGCCATCTTGGAAAACTGATTCTACATCCTACCTTAGTTTGAGCTTTGAGCTCCGAATTGTTCGTTTAAAGACCTGTTAGCTTCATTAGCCTCATCGCTCCACTGCCAAACAGCAGATAAGAAACATGTCTTGACTGTCTGATTACATTTGGGGTAAGAAGCAGGTTTTTCATGGAAAAGACTGACTAAAACCAAAGGTCAGAGGTCACTCACAGTCATAAGCATGCACTTATTATCGCAGCAGGCTCCGCAGCAGCCCAGGAATCCCATGAAATTGAGTATGGCCCCAACACCGATCAGCAGGTAGCCAGCATTAGACAGATGTGCTAACTCGGGGGAATTGTCCTTAATGATATCCAGTACTTTCAGTATATTATTTCTTTTCATTTCGAACAAAACTCCGATGACCACAGTCGCAGCTCCTGCTAACTGGAGACCAAATAAGGAGAAAAACAGAAGAAACAGAAGTGAAAGAGAGAAGATCTGTAGGAGGATGACGTTCTAGCTGGGGGCATTGTGGAGTTACGGGAAGCAGTGAGGGAGAAAAACCCAGAAAAAGCACCAAGTAAATGTAAACAAAAGTAAGCTACAGTTTACTTTCTCAACATTGTGATAATGGAAATTGACTAAATTGGGATTATATTGGGAATAACAAAGAAATAAATAAATATCTAAATCTTTTGATCTGAAGGTATATGATTAAATATGTGAAATCGTATGTGTATGATTAAATGTGCAAAATATTCCGAAAAGCATCAAATAAGTGCCCAGGGTAGGTGGGAATTCCTTTAATACTGTTTAAAAAGTATCTCAGGGAAATTCCTCAAGAAATCGGTCGGGAAAATACCAAGAATACATTTCTACTCAAAACGGTGTCTACTTTGAAGATGCTAAAATATAAAATTATTTTGATTTATTTTGTATTTTTTATCACAACATAATTCAAATAGATACGAGTTTTGATGACTTTATTATTATTAAAAAATGTGGAACGGATCCAAATAAAAATAAAGAATGTTTGTGTCTAAACTTTTGACGGGTAGTGTATATATTGCCCAGAAAGCACCATCCCCAGTATGAAGCATGGTGGCGGTATGATAATAACATCATGTTCTGTTGATCCAATTTTTTTTTAACAGCAAGTATTGAGGAACTGGCAACCCTAAAAGAAAACATGTTCCACTGGACAAGAGACTTCCAACAGGACAAAATCCCTAAGCATTTATATTTGTTGGCATTTGACAGACACGCTTATCCAGACTGACTTACATTTATCTCATTTATACATCTGTACAGTTGAAGGGTTATGGACTGGGGTTTGAACTCACAACCTTCTGATCAGTAGTCCAAGGTCTTAACCACTGAATTACTGCAACCTTCAATTAGCGTCTTCTGCTTGAAGCTACACTACAGTAGTTTCAAACCAAGAACCAGCCACAACCCAGGCCTCAGTATGATTGAGAATCTGTGGCACGACTTTCTGTTCACCAACGGTCTTTATCTAATACAACCAGCGTCAACAATTTGACCAAGAAAAATGGACAAAAATCTTAGGATCCAAGGACGTGTAAAGCAGATCAACATATACCAGAGGACTTCTACAGGTTTTTCACAAAAAATAGCACGTAGCATCTTCAAATGTTAGACATATTGTGCTGTTCGTTGAAATAAAATTAACGGAATTAAATAATTCGGGCAGAAAATCCTGAAGGAGAACGTCTGGTCTTCAGTCCGTAAATTGAGACTCAAGCGCGACTGGAGTATGCAGCAAGACAATATGATATAATCAGTGAAAGACTGACCTCAAGTTATTGGAAGTGTTTGGTTGCAGTTATTGCTGCAGATTTTAAGTTTAATGGGGCAATTCGTTTGTCCCGTTGTTGATAGGTGTTGGATAACTTTTTTTTGCTTCAATAAAAAAAACAAAAAAAAAACTGCATTGTGTGTTTACTCAGGTTGTATTTTGTTTGAAGATCTAAAACCTTCATATGAGATATACACAAAAACAGATGAATTCAGGAGATGAAATCAACACTTTTTCACAGCACTGAAGCCTTCTTTTAAGATCCTCCATCACAAAATTGGTGGCTTTAATGAAGCGGCTGGTGTTTTTAGTGGAGCTCATTACTCAGTGCTGAATAGTCTGCGACACTGGTGAATAGTTTGGGCTCCAGGTAAATCTACCACCTTTCCAGAGCCCATACTACTGCAAGGCATTCTTTTTCATTTGCAGAATAATTTGTTTCTGCTTTGTTTAAGGTTCTACTGGCACAGGCGATCACCTCCTCCAGGTCTTTCTGCTGTGTCAATACAACACCCAGTCCAGTGTTGCTGTATTAGAATTAACTTTACCGTAATCCACACAGAATCTAACGTTTCACCTTTGTTTTTTTTCAGACAGGATACAGGACCAATACGGCCTCTGTTTAATGGGCAGTGGATGGGTGGTGTAGAGACGGTATAGTGGAACCTCAGTCCAGTGCACACCTCAGGGATTTAACGTAATTGATGTTATCTCTCAGAAGAATACAGTGGGCTCCAAAAGTATGAGAACGCTAAAGAAAATGTGTCTATTTCGCAAGCTTTACAAATTTTATACAAAGGTTTTTTTGTTTTGTTTTTTTTTTATTTACAAAAGACTTCATCAGCAGTAACTTGACTAAAAAGTAAGATTTGATAGAATGTCTGCATGAATTTGACAATTTCTTTGGATTTATTTTGTCTCCCTTTTGCTTTAATGATGGTTCGCACTCTAGCTGGTTGACCTGATGATTAATGTTCAATCAAAACAATGAGCGTATCATCTGAAGAAATTCTTAAGTGGAAGCGAACAATCTCAGGAAATAGCTGCACTTCCGCTCACAAATGTTAATGACACTAATTTGCTTACGTTTCAACAGTGACCAGCAAATCACGCAGAATCTTGAATACTAATTTGAACATTTGCTTTTGTTTCTTTTTCATTTTTATTATTATTTTTTCAAATATTTGTTTTAATGTTGTTCTTTTTCTGTTTAGTTCCAGTTATATATAAAAGAATTGGAATGTGGTCTCAGATTTTTCGGTATATTTAATACAGCTAATGTAACTAGCATGTGGTTGTCTGTCCGTGCAATTGATTAAACAGATGACGATGAAATTAGAAATCTTTCTTATCACCACACCATAAAAACAGCTGTTTACGTGTTTCAGTAGCTTTTATTTAAAAAAAAAACTAAACAAACAAAAACAATAACCCAAGGTTTCCCCTGCTTATGACTGAAAATAAATGTTGGTTTATCTGTTTAGTAATCTGACAAAAACAATCTTGTCCTGTTTTTGAGAAATTGTGACCCAACCACTTTTTTTTTTTTTTTTTTCCCCAGTTTCAGCATTACTGTAATATCTGTGGTTTGACAGACAGTCTCAGTTCGTACTGTCTAGTAATTATAAACCCACATGGGTTTGATCTAACAATAATAGACCTTAAATACCAACACTACAAACGTGATATTTTTGTATTAATGATCATCATTTAAAAAACAAAAACAAAAAAAAACATATTTTATATATTGTATTCAAGAAAATGTGACTTACAAAGATAGCACTGTTGAAGACGACCATAAGTACCTTCAGGATCCATTTACAAGCCATCTTACCAGTGGTTTTCTTCTTTTCTTCTTCTTCAGTTTTCTTACATGTAAAGTGGACAAAATGTCTGTTGTTTAAAACACACTCGGCAAGTCCGACTGTGGAAGGAAGTGAGTTACTGCAGTTCTTCGTAAAGATGCATGCGGTTTCATCGCTCAGCCAGAAAGCTCAGATATGTAGTGTGCAATATTTCCCCATGACCTCAATGCTTCCTGTTTTGACAAAAGTCAAGATGACAACATGGAAAATGTTGCCGTACAAACAGTACTCAGATGTTATATCAGTTAAAGCATTAAAAAAAAATTAAATAAATAAACCTGCTTATATATGAATAAAAATAGATTTGGAAAACAGCAACAAAAAGGATACATTGCCGGAGAATTTAAAATCAGTCGTTCGATTTTATAAACAGTGATGGTTTATTTGAAATCTGGAAAAGTTTTAACATGTAGCGTGCTTATATTTTTACCTAAAGGCTATATTATCAAAATAATCACTGGTCATTTTATCTTCAATCATCAATACAGCGAATGCAAATGTGGTGTGTTGAGGTTTTACAGCGATTCCGACAGATCCACTGCACGTAATATTCGTTATGTTGAGGAGTTAGAGCGGTAAAATGATACGTTTCTCTGCTGGACACTCAACAGCTCAAACTAAAGTCTTCAGTGGACATTTCAGCCTGGATAAACACGTATACGGAACAGTTGTATACAACTGATAACTTTAACACGGTTATTTAGTAATACCTTTCTTTCAGGTTATTTATTAGTTTATATATTATACACTGTGTCTCACACACCAATGGTAGCAGAGCTATGCAAGGTGCTAACTTGCCATAGGGAGCAACATGACAATTTATTGCACTTCCTTCTGCAGCTGTCATTGGTGCACGGCTGGTTATATCTTTAAAACAAGGGTGTTAAGCCATAAATAGCTTCGAGTCGTGTAGGACAGCATCATAAACAGAGCTGCGGTGTACTTTTGTGGTAAAAGTGTCTACTGCTCAGTCGACATTTACTGCTGCTTTCGAAAATGTCTTGCCCTCCTTAAAATAAAAATAAAAAACCCTGAAATGAACTGCATGCACACTATTCTTAATAACTACCCCCTAAAAAATTAAGACCCTTCCCATTATACATCGACCCTAAATGTGGAACTGTGAGCAATCTTGAGCGTTACATTAGGACACGAAGTAACAAGAATGTACACAATGTTTATCGGTTAATCTCTCAAAGAAATCGGAAAAATTAAAAACGCTCAAGCAAACAACTTTACAATTGTTTTACCACTTGAGATGGACTGAACCTTAGGTAGGTGGTATGTGTTGAAATAAAACCCACATGAATGCCAGGACCCAAGGTTTAAGAGCAGGACATTGCACAGAGCATCAAACTGTCTCCACCGGCTTGCCTTCTTCCTATAGGGCATCCTGGTACCAGGTCTTTCCCAGGTAAGCGACGCACACACATCTGGCCATCCACATGTTGTAAAAGGACATGTGATTCATTCATTCAGACCGGGCCACCTTCTTTCATTGTTCCATGGTCCAGTTCTGATGCTCACGTACCCTGTGTAGGCACTTTTGGAGGTGGACAAGGTTCTGCATGGGCACAACAATGTCCCTTTGTCCTGCTTCAAACACATCAACCTCGAGGACTGACTGTTGACTTGCTGTTTATTATATACCACCTATATCCCTGGTTTTTTCACATCCTGCATTTTAGACGGACATCCTCCATCTTCTACAGCAGGGGGCGCACACACACCCCAGTGTATTGTGCATTACTGCCATCTAGTGGTTTTCAGTAGTGATGTAATGTGTATAAAATTGCTCCACTTTGCTTCCTTGAAAACTTGCATTTAAAATTCATCAATTAAAAGAATTTTGTCCAAAACTTACATAATATGGGATATTTATTTCCAATGTTGTATTCTCTAAATCATGTGGTCTTCAGTGGTGTCTGTTTTGTAATTACAGCTGTAATTAATCTTGTGAGCGATAGGTTCCTGTCCACTGATATACAGGAAGAGTGTCATATGTGTTACTTTCTTTTTTTTGCCTTTATTTATTCATTTTCATATGATTCATTTACATGTGATTCATTTACATATGATTCATTTTCATGTGATTCATTTACATATGATACATTTTCATGTGATTCATATTCATGCATGTGATTCCTTTACATGTAATTCATTTTCATCTGATTCATATTCATGTGATTAATTTACCTTTTCTCCCCTCCCTTCCCCAAATATTTCATTGAGAAATAACAATAATAATAATAATAATAATAATAATAATAATAATAATAATAATAATAATATTTATTAATTAATGAATTAATTAAGAAATTTTTACTTATTTTTTTAATCCCCCCCCCACCCCCGGCTCATCAAGGCTACTCTGTTTGTGACTGTCACGTTCCGGAACGTAAGGGAGGATAGGACGGATGCAAGTGCAGTGAAAGACGTTTAATAGAGAGAGAGACAGGCAGACAAATCCAAATCATTTTCCTGTTGCAAAATGCGGTGAAAAAAAACAAACTCCCACACGACGTTCATAATGGGATTAAGGTGTTTACATGTCTGTAATACACGTCCATAATACGATTAAAACAGGAGTACTCCACCTGTCTTAATTCGATTATCGCTTACTTCGATTATGACCTTAATTAGATTAAGGTAAGTAAAAATTGCTGTTTACATGGTAGTTTCTTAGAGTATGGTCTTAATCGGGTTA